TCTTCGGATACCCTAGTATTGGTCCCCGACAGGAATCAAATGGGGATTCGAGATGGATTTAAGAGAGGCTTGAGAGGAATTCAAGGAGATGAGGAGAAAGGATTTTTCTCTGATTTCTTGCTAGGGAAAAGATAGGAGGTTTTCCCATTTATGATTCGAGGAACTTTGAGAGTTTCGAAAGGAATTTTGAGAGAACTTTGCTACGGATTTGTGCACTCCAAACTCCAACAAAACTCAAAACACGAAACCACTCAAGAGCAACGGCACACTCCTATAATCAAATCTATATGAATGCACTGATTTGTTAGTTGTATCTCCTCGATTTGACTTAGGTTTGGCCTAGCGACTACATGATTCACATACTGTAGGAAAAAATTTAAAAAGTTCATATTTTTGGTTGTGCGAAACTCCGGGTTGTTACACTCTTCCCTTACAACTTCAAGTGAGTGTTAATGCCTTGTGCCCATTTTATTTTGCTTACTCCATGTTGACTTTAGTTAATAAGTTATGCCTACATATAAACATGTAGCTTTCACTGGATACTGCTGGCCATCAATATGCCCAGGAGTCTTGTAAAAATCTTTGACTCAGCAATAAGACCCCGAGAAGATTACCAAGATATGATAGATATTCTCCAGTGGTAATTTCGGTCTCGTACACTGTATACTCTCTTATGTCATTTTATTGATATAACTCCATTTATTTATTTTGTTGGGCAATGCTTGGGCTACGTTCGCCCAGAAACACCATCATGGTAATTGGAAAATGCCTCTGGATGTAGTCCAATACCCAGTAAGTACTAGCTAGATCACCACATCTTTATTTAGTTCAATTCATTATTATCATGCTTCATTAGTTGATGATGAATCTTTTTCTCGTAAAGTGGTGTCAGCAGCAGGGATCGGGGAACAACTTATATGGATACTACGTTTGCGAGTTCCTCATGCAGTACTCAACGAGAACAAGTGAAGAGATCCTCGAAGTACATAAAAATATACACAATTTATTTATTACCATTGTGTTGTTACATATAATCATATATATATATATATATATATATATATATATATATATATATATATATATTACTTTTCCTTTCATTCGAATTGAAGGTTAAACGGAGGAAGGAAAAGGTCCTACGAGCTAACCAGATCAAAACAATTCAAGAGGCATTGTCCGGATTTCTTATGAATGAAGTCATAGATCTCAAAGGCACGTACTACTATGACAATCGAGAAATATTACCTAGTAAAATTAGGGTTGAATGAAATTCTAAGGACATGAGTATAAGCTTTTGTGACTTTATAATGTACATATTTCATGCATGTACAAACTCTTGAAATATTTGTATATATATATATATAGTTTCATATATATTAGTGTGTTATTAGCAGCGTAGAATTCGCATATGAAAAGCTAAACCAAAAAGAATTAAATTGAAAAGAAACCATAAAATAAAAAAGAAAGAAATGAAAAAAAAACCATTAGTACCGGTTGGAAACACCAATCGGGACTAAACGTGGGCAAGGTCTGCGGGACCATTTAATCCCAGTCGGTAATAGCAACCGGAACTAAAGCTTGGAGGCCTTTAGTCTAGAATTCGCAATCCCGGTTGGAAAACCGGGATTAAAGAGGGTTTCTCAACCGAAACTGATGCTCAATCCTACACTGTATTTTCTTCTCATCTCTTATTTCTCTCCCTCCTTTTCTTCTTTCTCCCAACGCCTTCCTCGTCCATCTATTTTTCACTGTAGACAGCGGCTGCACCCGTGCACCTTGGCTCTACGTCCACCCTCCCTAGCATTCGTGCCATCCACTTCAGCAACAGCAGAATATTCTAATGGGATTGAACAATGATCATTGCCACATAATTCTGCCAAACCACTCTTTCCTAATGTTGCTGCGACGGGAGAAAGAAGGGTTGCGACTTGCGAGAGGACGAATGCTCCATCTCAACTTCTAAGATTAAAAAACAAAAACATTTCCGAGATACTCTTTGTTTGCGTTGTAGTTCTCATTTAAGAGCATCTCCAGCAGTTTCTCAATATTTCTCCTATCCCCATAAAACTATTATATTGGGAATAGCTATGTTTTTTTTCTTATTCCACCAGTTTCTCAATACCTCTCAATTTTTTTATGGCCACCAATATTTTTCCCATCTCTCATCAAAGAAAGGGGGAGATACAACTCCTCTAATACCATGGGGACCATCCAAACTATCACTTTTTAGCCATATTTTCTCTTATACTTCTATAAGACCAACCTTTCATATGGATATTGGACGAGATATATTGAGGTACTGCTGCAGCAATTCTCCCAATAAATTTAGAAAGTGATATTGGACTACCCCAATATCATCTTATTGGGAGAGTTGTATTGAGGGAGTGCTGGAGATGCTCTTGGTTCCTGGGCTGATACTCTCAAGCCCACTTCTATCCACGGGCTCAATATATACCCAAGGAATTGGTCTGCTTGGCTGTATACTCTCAAGCCCACTTGTTTCCATGGGCTCAGTATACCCACAAGCGTTGCAGGGGATTATGGAGCTCCACATATTGCCTCCCGCTACAATTCAAGTTCAATGTTTGTTGAATCCGATGGCAATCAGATTACACTATCAATACACATTTGTTGTTCCCCGTATCAAACTATCAATACACAGGCAGTTAACTGGTACATTTTAACCTACCTGAACACATTTTTAATGCTTTCAAAATTTAGCGACCAGTTCAAAATTGGCATAAATGAATTCATATACGCTTTAAACTTTCCAAACCATATGTTTTATGAATTCGTTTTTCTCTCTTTAAACAATATATGCAAACCACAAGACATGTCAGCAATTGGAGCCATGATATGTGCCTTCTATGTCATCGTCAGCAGATTCTAAGGGCCTATTGGACAATTCAAATGCCTATTATTTTACCTAAATTGAATACTGTTTTTGCATTTCATATTATTATCAAGAAAAATCCAATTCTAAACATCAGGTAAACTGAGCATGATCGGTTTCCATTCAACAGCACAAGAGATAAAATTCCCCCTCACTGGAAGGGACAAACGATCATCATAGCAAAATTCACAAAAAAAAAAGAAGAGATCATCATAGCAAGGAAACTTCTCCAGCACCTTAGGGATAGACTTTTTGCTGTCACAGTAAACATTAGTACCAGTACAACTACAGGATTAGAAAAACATATATCAGCATAATTATATATACCCAAAAGATGCCAAAGATACCACTGAGTCAAGCAGCAAGTCAACAGAACACCAGGGCGCCTCTAGCAGCAGTGGTCCATTTCAACTAGCAAAATCAACATACCTCGACCATCTGTAAGTAATATATTTCAATTAGATTTTTCTCCAAGAAAAATATCAAATAACAAGATTTTTTGACAGGGAGCTGAATGGCAGAACTCGATGTATCCAAACAAAATATGTTGTGAACATCAACCTGCTTAAAATGGCCTACTTATGGCTTGTCCATAAATTCAATGCAAGGAAGAAGGCTAATTGAGTGGAACGAGCAATACATATATTTAACTGAAATCAAAGGGTGGGCACTCAGTGATCCATGGATATCAGTAGTTTCACTCTAGTTCAACTTATTTTGACTAACTTTTCAGTTAGAGCTAGAAAAAATTAGTCGACTTGTATTAACACAAATGATTCAATCCATGCCCATCTAATCTTAAAGACAAGCACATCACCAACGTGAAGTTAAAAATGATATCCCAAACGTGTATTCATATTGCATAGGAAAATTATAATCATAAGCATTTTTATGCCTGAGATAACAAACTCAGCACTCAGAATTTCTGTTCCAAAATGTCTCCGTGGTGACATTGTACAAACTTCACATGACTCAGCATCTCACGGTGTACAATTCCAAGTTAGTAATTAAGGCGACTCCTGCAGCCACCTTTTGTTCAGACTTTGCATAAAAGAAAAATTCGAGCACACGGGATCTGAATCAAACTGCCATATTTTATTTTCAGATAAATCTCTGCAGCAAAATTCTCGCTGTATAAATCAACTTCTTAAAGCAGCTTCTTACAGGGCTGTAACCCAGTGATGGAAATGTTTGAAACTGAATCTGTGTTGCTAACGGAACTGTAGGTTGCAATAAAGCCAAATGAACTACTGAGAACAAGAATTCTGATGCAAATAAATTGAATGCTAAACATAGTTCCACCATACCAAAGGTTCTGGAAACTAGATTGTACAAAAGTTACCAGTCCACAACAGGATGCTAGACTGCTAGTAGTTAGATATGTCAACTATTGGTGATCAATAAGTTTAATCTGGAATTTCATTTGACATTCAAGAACTTCCAATACAATACAACATATTCTGCCTCGATCAACTGGAAATCTCTAAAAACAACGGCCCTGTATGGTACAGCTATGGCCTATGGGGACAAACGCTTCACAGAGAAGCTGCACAAATAAAGAAAAAACATGGTTACCAAGCTTCTGAGTTTTAGCACAAACCGAAGCTGTGGTGGAGAAACATGACCAGAAAAAAACTGCAAAAAACTATGCCATTTGGCTTCTAATATCTGCTTATTTTAGCCATAAGCAGCTTATAAGTTGTACCAAATAGGGCCAACATATCTCCACTACTATCTAGACAGCCCTAGGTAACAGAATTATACTTTTTTTTCCTTTTTGTTTCCCTTGTTCGATAAGGGTCAATAATATCATTGTTACCGACTGGTTTTGTAAAACGGAACATGTAAACAGATTTTCTATACTACAAACATTTAAGAAGTATTAGCACGAGAGTTTAATCACATTGGCACAGAAGATGGAACCAAAGTTGTTTTCTTAAGGGGGATGAATCGAATCTGCGGCTACTGCATAATATAATCTCGAAAAATAACAATCTGCGACATTAGTATAACTAGGTATTTACACAATCAACTATCGCCACATCTATCTACACATGCTAGTCATTCCAATAAATTGCAAGACATATTCCAGTAAGCACCAATGCTTCTAATAATCAATAAATGATGTCTGCACACAAGAAATAAAAGGGTGAAATCGATGCAACAGTAACATGAACAACAGTCTAGTTTAGTCATGAATTGGCAAGGAGGCACTCAAGACCTTACTTTATGAAACAGCAGAAAAAAGCTACACAAACTGATCAATATGATTCAAACTTCTATTGCAAAGTAAAATGTTGCAGGTTTCCACCTAAACACATAAAAAGGGTATAGCTTTCTGACAATAGCACTGGCCACCAAAAAACAATCTTAGAGATTTTCGCTATGTAAAATAATCATGTGCAATTGGCTTACCAAACTGTCTGACTCATAAAGACCTTCAAAAGATATGATCACCAGGGCATCTACATAATGATCCATCAAATGGATCCGAAACCAAATCATGGATGTGCTTCATGTGTACCAAACAAGACAACCTATGTTTAGGATCAGCTTCAAAATAAAATGTAGCACCTCGAGAAGCTCTGCCATCTACCTCTAGCTTCTTATGTTGTCTAGCAATCCATTTTTTACCACATTGGCCTTGACAGACTACAAACTTCATAGCTTCAAGCACTCTGGCGTTTAAGATGAAGAACTTGACGAAATTTATATCTGCACAGTTGTCCTCATAATTTATTATCTGCATCTTCTTGAGATGCCGATCAAGGCATTCGAGTGGAGCATAGGCTTGTTCGTTCTTCGTAAGTATTCGAGGATATGACTGAAACGGGAAGAGTGAAGGAAAGCAACACACCATAAATTGAATTCCAACATGATTTCTGAGTGCACAGTTTAGTGCAACAAACAAGTAGATGTATGTAAAAATTTAAGAAAGAAGAAAATCTCACCACACAATGTATAACTTCTCCACCCATGGAAAGCATTTTAAGAAGCCAGTGACAAGATCCAGATCAGGAGCAGTGAGGGCTAAAGTCTTCACAGTGCGCATCACATTGGGCAGGCTAATAATAGGCACCATTTTCTGAAATAGTGTATGAACATAAACCATATATGGTCTGGTGAGGGGCGACAATATACAGACATGGAAATGCATTGGGATAAGTGAACGATGTAGCTGTACCTCAAAAAGCATGGTTCCAAGCTGAAATATGGGGATGTCGTCATGTAGATAGCCCAATGTCTTCAGTTTGGGTGCATGAATAACCCGGATCACCAGGCCATAACATGGAGGCCGTGGCATAATCGTTTCTAGGAGAGGGGCGTCCTCAACAGTGAGCTCTTCCAGCTTTCCCTTCGAGCCTGACACACCAAGGCTCCGAAGGGTCATGGAGCTGATCTGTAGACTCTGGCAACCAATGCTACCATCCAGAACCAAGCTCACCAGGACAGGGCATACTGACAGGACGGCATGGAGAGCAGTCCCAGATATGTGGACCTTGGCAAGTGTGAGGTGCTTGAGGTTGGGGAAATTGAGACTGCAATTTGGTAGTGTGAGCTGGTTGAGGTCTGGGAAGATGAGATAGGAAGATGAGGATGCAATCCGCTTGCATAAGTGCAAGGCACTGGCTGCCGGCAGAAGACGGAGCACAGACGGCGGAAGTACACTGTATGAACAAATCTCCAACTCCGGGAAGTCGTTGATCCGGGGGGATTGCATCAATGTGTCGACAATCTGGAAGTCATTGCCCCATAGGTGATAGGTGAGTGAGAAGCGACGGAGAGGGCCCTGGTGCGTGCTCAACAGGCTGCAAATGGTGGCCATGTGCGCATCCTTGTTTAGGTTGCCGTAACTGATATCGGCCTCGAGGTTGAGAGGCGCGGTGCGCCAAAGGGGCCGCCACCGGCGAGAGAGGATCTGGGTGCGGGCGCCGTCCTTGGTCGGGAGGAGGGTGATGATGCTGTCAAGAATCTCGTCGGGGAGGCGGCTGATCAGATCCGGGCCCCGGGGCGGCACCGGCAGTTCTTGGCCACGGCGCCGTCCCTCCTCCAGCCTCCTCTTCTTCCTCTTGGCTCTTGCATCCATAGTGGCACCACGTGTCCACTGCAGCAAAAGGAGCACTGGGTGGAACCGTGCAAAGCGTGGGCGTACCCAGTGCAAAGAGCTCCCGCTCTGTGCGGGGTCTGGAGAAGGGTGTCAGTGGCATGCCTTACCCTCGCCTGTGCAATGCGAGGAGACCGCGACTCGAACCCGGGACCTTCCGGTCACAGGCGGTAAGACTCTACCGCTTGCACCAGGCCCGCCCTTCGGAACCGTGCAAAGCATGATCAGAAATTTCGTAGAGAAATCGAAAGAACCTAGTTGCTCTGAAACCCTAACCAAAACCCCCAACAGGCGCCCCCGTCGTGCTCCGGGTATTTACCTCCAAGATGACCGTCCACCCGCCCGCTAGGAAAGCGGCGCGTGCCCCGTCCACACGACCCTCCACTCATCGCCGACTTGCCATACCGCGGCCACTGCCGCCGAGACCCGAGGGGAGATAACTAGTGTGCAAGAGAAGAAGGGAAAGAGATTAGAGAACCCCCGCGCCAGTGACGACTCGGCGCTGCTGCCGCTGTTGAAGACGAACAGGCCCGGTGGGCACATTTAACCCCAAAACCGAACCTAAACCGAAGCCAAATGTTAGTTTTTCGGTTTGGCTTCGGTTTTTGTTTATGGGAAGTTCAGCCTTCGACTCGGTTATCGGTTTTTGCCCCAAACCGAACCAAGAAGCCGTTCTAGCCAAATTCCTAGCGATACGTCAACCTTGTAACTCTCGTGGCCGAGTCACCAGGACATCTAGGCGATTCCCACTCCCACCGAGCCACCTTGGGCCTTGGCTTAGCTAACCCATCCCCCAAACTCCACGCGCCCCCTCCCCCCAAAACTAGTCAACTCGACCCTCCCATACTCTAGCTCTCCATTCTCTCCATCTCCAAATCCTACGATGGCGGGCGGTGACGCATCTGGCGCTACGTGCGTCCAATGAGGGCGACGAGGGGAGCAGCTCCAAACGCACGAGCAAGGGATGGGCGCTTGAAAGGTCCTAATATGGCTAAAGGGAGGGTGAATAGCCTATTTGAAAAATCTATAAATCGACTAGAGCAATTTGATTAGTATGACAAATAGCGAAAAGCAAACTTGCTCTAGCTCTATAAGGGTTGCAAGCCACCTATCCAACAATTCTAATTGCTATGATCACTAGACACACAATTTACTAAGTCACTACTCACTAAGAGCTCTCATACTTGCTACACTAAAGAGCTCTACTAGATGAACTTAAGCTACAAAGCAAGCTCTCAATTCTAGCTACACTAAAGAGCCTACTACAACTAGTTTGCGGGTATGTAAATGAGTAAGTAAAGTGCTTATATCGTTGCGTAGAGGAGTGAACCAATCACAAGATGAATACTAACTCAATCACCGGGAGAATACCAAAGGGCAAAAGATAACCAATTTTCTCCTGAGGTTCACGTGCTTGCCAACACGCTACGTCCCCGTTGTGTCGACCAATACTTGGTGGTTCGGCGGCTAAGAGGTGTTGCACGAACCTTGTCCACACAATTGGATACCGCAAGAACCTACCCATAAGTGAGGTAACTCAATGACATGAACAATCCACTAAGGTTACCTTTCGGCGCTCCACCGGGGAAGGCACAAGTCCCCTCACAATCACCAGAGATGGCCACGAGCAATCACCAACTCGTGCCAATCCTCCGCCGCTGTACCAAGCCGTCTAGGTGGTGGCAACCACCAAGAGCAACAAGCGAATCCCGCAACGAAACACGAACACCAAGTGCCTCTAGATGCAATCACTCAAGCAATGCACTTGGATTCTCTCCCAATCTCACAAAGATGATGAATCAATGATGAAGATGAGTGGAAGGGCTTTGGCTAAACTCACAAGGTTGCTATGTCAATGAAAATGGCCAAGAGAGTGAGCTTGAGACAGCCATGGGGATTAAATAGAGATCCCCCACGAATAGAGCCGTTGGCTCTCTGTTCCCTGAAAAATCGGGGCGACCAGACGCTCCGGTCAGATCGACCGGACGCAGGACCCCAGCGTCCGGTCGCGCGATGCACGCCATGTGTCCCCTGCTTCAAATGCTGATCGTCCGATCTCAATGGTCATCAGTGCACTTAAGTTGTGACCGAACGCGCGGCTCGAAGTGACCGGACGCAACATCACCCGCGTCCAAAAGGGTTCTTTGTTCTTTGTTCTTTGTTCTAATCTTAGGCACATTGAACAAGATGAAGCTGATATTATGTTCTTTGTTCAATTATAACATTGGTGGTAAGATCAGAAGATTGAGCATGAATATAACATTTAAGTACATTTGGCCAAAAGGGTTGAATTGCTTAACTCGTGGAAGGATTGTTTAACTTTTCATAATGTATCAAACTTTACATGATTATGACTATCATCTTTCAGAGATAGGATGTGCACTTTCAGCTTATTTGGTTAAGACAATGGGCTCAAGAAAGTGGTGCTAGGAACAAGCTTAAAGAACTAAACATGTTGAGTTAATCAGGTTAGATCAAGCAAGTTGTGACTCAAACATGTTTGTTTCTTACTTATGTGCATACCCAAATCAAGGAAAACTTTTTAAATAATGACAATTTATCTTCGGATGTTACCTTTGTCATTAGAGCGCGATGACACCATATGATGAAGGGTAGATGACTCGTGATGGTCCTTCCCTTTTGCTTGTAGTTTTCCTTGTTTGGCTAGCCTCGCAGCTTGAGCTATTCATAAGTTTCTTGTCTCCTAGATTGCACCATTTCTTTCTTATCCTTTTGTTTTGCCTTCTTTTTGTTCTTTGATCTTTGACATTTTGTTGGACCTATTGATTTGTTCATCCACTTCCTATGAGTGTGTGCTTTTATTGTAGATCATGTTTTATAACACTCATCTTCTTCCTCGTTGTTCCATGGAGTTCTTCCATCCATGTTGAATGAACCGTGTCTTCTTTGCGCAAAGTTATTGGAGTTCATCATTTGCCTTGCTTCATCTTTGATTTGAATTTATCTCGTGACTTACCCAAATTGAATTGAGAGTTTGCTGCAGAGGGTTAATCCAACAAAATATCCAGTATCTTTTAAAGCACACTCTTAATTAACGGGAAGTACGAGGGGGTTGAAGATCTCATGTGCAGCAATGTTGGGGAGACCAATTGATTCTAGAGTTTTCTCGCATGAGCATGGATTTGATGAGGTGCTCAAGAAGTAGCTTCCATGCTCATTGATGTCATCTTCCTTTTTGAGCTCTAAGGTTGATTCTTCATGAATGTCCAAAATTTTGCTTGGATTGGTGACTCTCAGGTCGATCTTGTCTATGACCTCCTTCAAACTCGGATGAGTCATGTTTATTAAGGAGATTGACTTAAGCTCACCCTTTGGATCTAAACTAGGGTTAGATTCTACCCTTAAGGTTTTGGCCTTGTCCATCATTTCAACGGCATATGGATTCTTAATTTCCTTTAGCCATTGTTGTTGCTCTTCTTGGTCTTCCTTGGATCCTTCATGATTCCTATGCTTTGGTTGTCTTGTTGGGTTTCTAGGATCATCATGAGACTCAGGAAAAACAGCATGAAGGGAATCATCAGGGTCAAGGATGGGTTTAGAGATAGGTTCAGATGAGACATCTAATGTGGGCATAGAAGGGAGAAGATAGGATTGGCTTCAAAATAACTTGGTTCTCCTTCTATGGCATCACTTGACATGCCATCCTTGACTTCTTCCCAATGTCCTACATGGGAATAAGGATGCTTTCTAAGAGACCCCTTCTTGAGAGGATTTGAATTATATTCACTCGAAGGTCTCTTATGTAGCAGAACGTTTAAGCTTTTTCCAAAATCAGCATTAAAAAGATCATCCTTAATTTCAACAGGGAATTCCAAAGGTGAAATTTCTTCTTCCCTTGGAGGATTTTGGGGTATTGAAGGTTCGGGATTGATAGCTAAATCTTGGTATTGGAGTAGTTGTGATTTGACTATCAAAACTTTCTCTTCTTGTTTGGAAGATGATTTTTTCTCTTTCTCAGGGAGTTCATCATGAATACAAGTGTAGGGAATGCGTCCAATAATTTTATCAAGAATAGTCCTTGCCTTACTAGCAGACAAATGAAGGAAAGCCCCTCCAGAGGCCATATCAACGAAATTCTTGGAATCCTTGTTAAGACCAATGTAAAAATGTTGAAGAAGTACAGGGTCTTGAATGTCAAGGTCAGGGCCAGTGGTGATGAGGTTATTAAAACGAGTCCATGACGTGTCAAGAGATTCTTGTTCTTTTTGTTTAAAAGATAGAACCTCTTTTCGAAGGCGGACAACTCTAGAGATGGAAAAGAAAGCTAAACAAAATTTAGAGCATAGCGTTTCTCAATCTCCTTGAATACTTCCTATGGTTTGTCTATACCATCGCTTAGCTCTTCCCATCAAAGAGAATAGAAACAACTTCCATCTTAAGGTATTGTCAGACATGCTAGCGATATGTAAGCATGCACAGGTCTGGTCAAACTCTCATAGGTGTAAGTATAGGTTTTCATTGCCTTCTCTTGAGAAGGATTGTTCCTGAATCATTTTTATAAAACATGGGCACAGCTCATAGCTAGGTGCTAGGATAGGCTCTGCAGATTTTGGTGGCTCTAGACATGCGCTCGTAGGTTTACCATATTGATATATAGGTGTGGATTCCAAATCCATAGTAACAAGAATAAAAGAATAAAGATAAAAGATAAAAGAATAAAGATACAAGGTTAAGCTAGGTTCGTAGTTAATTAAACAACCGTTTCCCCAGCAACGGTGCTAGAAATCTTGTTGGTATTTATTAACACACACAGATAAATTCGCAAGCGCACGGATACCGCTGTAGCTTTCACCCAAAAGTATTCCAAGTATCGTATCCACAGGGAAATGTGTGAGATTAACTGCAATCTAACTTAATCAGGAGTAGCAACAAGACTTAAGATAAATAGTAGCTTAGAGAGGACTACTAAGGCTCTGTAGTTCTAACTTTGGTAAGCTATGTCTTCGATTGTTCAATTCCGG